CAGTAAGTTGTTCAGTAGTTAGCTTGCACAATGAGCTGCCTTTTCCACACCAAAAAGGTGATCCTGCCACAAGCATAAGCTTGTTTAGGCAAAGTTAGCTAGTGCATTATCATCAAACTCTTAATCCTTTTTTCAGGAAAGGGAGCAATGTCTGCTTTGGAAATCAGAAAATATTCATGAACTTTCATCTGCTTGATCTCCATGCAATCGCCAAACAGCTGGATAAAACACATTTTTCTTTGAAATGCATATCAATCCTTTTTAGATCAGGAGATCTATTTGGTTTGAGTGGAACATCTTTGCTACCAATGCAGAGCCATAGCATGATTATTCCCTAGACAAACAGATCTCTGGCAGCAGAAGCAGGATGTCCTATGTTTAACTCAGCAGTCTGCTTATGTGGGAAGCAAATAGATGTGGCAGAACTACTCTCTTCTTCATGGTAAGTGAAATCTCCAATGATTCCACGATTTACAGCAAACACGCTGTTTTTATGTAGAGAACCAATAATTGTATTAATCTGCGTATCTTGTGCCACCCCACTCATTACTTTTACAATCTCATGTGTCCAGACTCTCCCCAGCATAAAAAGAACCCATCAAGTAAACTATCGGATTGTCCTTGGTGCATCCTTGACACCCAGTAGGCCATAGATATGATCATTTTGTAGGCATTTTAATTACAGCCTTGCCCTCCCTGCCCGCCATGTTTGCTTGACCAAGACAGGGACACTGTGAGGAGGAGAAAATAAAAAATAATGCAAACGATAAAAAAGCCAGTCTGTGAACAATGTAAAAAAAAAAAAAATAGTGGTGGTAGGTGGAAAACTGGCCGGGTCCGGACTAGCATTTGGCTCTCCACACAAGTGACGTTTCTGGCCTTTCTGTTTTGTTTCAGTGACAGTTGACCTCTCACTCCTTGGTTAGGAAGACCTAATCTGGTTCTCTCTGTGCTTTATAAACTACTTTTTGTGCAACATAGAGTCCTTCTACTCTCTACTCTCGCCTACAAAGTGGGATTCTTTGTAGCCATCACATCTGCAAAACAGCATAAATGAGCATTGTCACCCTAGGACAGGAAGTGTACTACTGGCAGGATCAACAGGTGAAAATAAAGTTAAGTCTAGAAAAAAAAGAAAACTAATGCAGTCACAGCATCTAATGACATGTATGCTGCATTGTATTGTTTTTTTGTTCTTGAAGTAAGATATGCTTTAATGCATCCTACATGTACAAAGACAACCAAAATAAAAGAATTTCAGACTACAATGCTTATTTTTTTTCCGTAAGTGTAAACATTTGCCCTTCCCTTTTAAAATAATGTATATCACTTCTGTTCTTGTGGTGTACTTCATATAAGGCCGACATTTACTGTACACTACCTGGGAAGAAATGTGACACAAACTTTTCCGACCACAATAAGTTTATTGCTTTGGCTTTGTCACTCTCAATGTTTTGTCTGCAGGGTCATTCAATAAAAGACACCCTTTATAATAAAACGCCGTTAATCTTGTTTATGAGAATGCTTCTAAATAGTGGTAGTTCTCCTAATTCAATTATTATTTTGTAATAAATGGTTTCCCTTTTATAATCTGGTATTTTGATTTACCTGTAACCTTTTAAATTCGGACACATGACATTTCTAGCATTTACAAGTTTCTCATTTTTTTCTCACTCGAGTCAAGCATAGGTTTGTATTGGCTTTGGGTACCAAAACTAGGTTTAAAAGCATAAAATATATAGGAATGTATTCAAAAAGAGGTTCTGGGATATACCTTAAGCACTGAAAATGCATGCAGAAGGGCAGAAAAAAATGTAATAAGGTATCTCTGTCCACGTTGGAATTAAACTGTATGCAACCAGAAAGGATGTGTGCATGCAGAGGCGGCTCTAGAGTTTGCGAGGCCTTAGGCGAAACCTAAACATGAGGCCCCACTCAGGCCTGTGGGGTCTCACCGGGCTGTTGGGTTTAACCAGGATGGTGAGACCCCACAGAGCCCTGGTGAGACCCTGCAGCAGGGGTGCCCACAAGGTCGTGCCCACAAGGTCGATCGCTGCTTCTCTGGATCCCCGCTGCTCTCCCCAGCGGGGATCCGAGAAGACGTGAAGGAACCGGCGGCGGGGGAGGGCGGAGGACGGAGCCGCTGTAACTATAATGCAGAGCAGTGAGGAGAGAGAGAGACGCTCGGCCAGGATCTGACAGCCGGCGCCTCTCTCTCCCCTCACTGCTCGTCCGTTCTGTCACAGCGGCTCCGCCCGCACCCCCCCCGCGTGGCTCGTGGTATCAGGGGGAGAAGGGGGATCCAGAGAAGATGCAGCCCCCTGTGCGTGGACGAGCAGCAGAGGATCGGGATCGGTACATGTCACCAGTATGTACCAATCCTCTAAAAAAAAAAATATATGAAAATTTAAAATAAATAAAAATAAATAATGAAAATAAAATAAAACATAGTAAAAAATAAATTTAAAAAACTTAGTTTTTTTTCCTTGCCTCAGGCGCAAAAGGAGCTGGCTACGGCTATGCTCCCGTGGTGCTCGTGCGGCTTCCGGCTGAATGTGTCAGACGCTGCAGATGGAAAGGTGCAGGAAACCCCATTTGCAACGTCGGCCACACGAGCACCACGGGAAACAGGACACCGGGACCTGGAATGCACTGGAATGTAAGCAGGCTGACTCGTACAGCGACAGGGCTGAGAGCTCACAACGTTACCTGGCTGCGAGCGAGGTGATGTGCCGTTCTGAAGGGCAAACTAGGTGGCCGCGAGGCCCTCGGGAGCGCGAGGCCTAAGGCGACCGCCTAATTTGCCTAATTAAAGAGCCGCCTCTGTGTGCATGTATTATTCAGGATATAAAAAAGAGAGTTGCAATAATTTGCAGGGTTTCTGTTGCCCTGGATAAATATCAAGGTTTAAAATAGGGGATAGGTGGTGTTAACAAAGACTGTGCAGAAGGCTAGAATGTCTACTAAAGATTAAAGGAGAACTATGAGGTGAGTGCTTTTCACTCACCTCATAGTTCTAGCCGACCTGTGACAATGAGACTGTCACAGGTCGGCTCAGTAGATCCGGAGGTGAGCGAACACATACCGGCGTTCGCTCACCTCTTGATCCTGTCACGGCTCTCTGCCGTGACAGGGGAGGGTCTGGATTCCTCCCCTCCGCAATTCGATCTGCCAGCGCTGCCTGGCGGAACGGATGGGGGAGGGGGCGGGTACAGCTGGCTCTGCTTCTAGATAGGCAGAGCCAGCTGTCAGTCACGCAGCTGGGCGGATGCCGGCACTATTGTCGGGATCCGCTTCAGCTGCGGCGTCTCAGTATACTGCGAGCAGCAGCTTGCGGTATACTGAGCCTAGGGTGACGGGAGGACGCTAGTTTGTGTCCTCCCGTTACCCTAAGGAGAACTATGGATAAAGCCCCCATAGACCCCATAGTTCTCCTTTAAAGGTCTTATGAGAAAGAGTAGTGATTCATATGGGAGTATGGGACTTTGTGATAACTTTTTTACCATTATACTGTCATGAGGTTACATCACTGTCTTCCTGTTCTGATCCACTCATTCTTATTTGTTGCCTTGGTGACCTATGGGCATAAAGTGCGGGGGTGGGGGATCTCCCCAATAGGATGGCAGATAGGGTTGCTATTAGAAATACTTTTCAAAAACCTAAAAGCCTCCCCCCATGTCTTCCGATCGACTTTAACTGCCCACTCTCTCCATAGCAATACATAGCAATACATAGGATACACTGTGGATACACTGTGGCATCGCACAGCCAATTGTGGCAATCTTCCTCCACCTCTGTATGCAGGGTTTAGCAACATAAGATACCTCCTTTTCCCTCCAACCAAACACATCATCTTTATGGCCGGAGGAAGGTAGAGGAGGAGAGAGCACAGCCCTCCATTCCGTCACTCTGTCCTTCAGTAGTGTCAGAGCAATTCGCTGTTCCACTTCTAACTGGGTTTATGACACTGACATGACTATTCTTGTCTGCCCATTGATAAACTAGGTTTTATAGCAAGGAGCCAGAGACTCAGAAATCTTAGGTCCGGTTTACACCTGCATGTTGCAGTTGTATTATGGTTAAAAAAATAGGCTTGCTCACTGCATCTTTGATTCTTTTGCTTCTCATCAAAATTAATGATATATAGAGTTCAATATTAACGCATCTAAAACACATTAAATGTGAACGGAGCCTTACTGATGGCAATATTCCCACGTCTTCCCATCAGGAAGTGGAGGCTGTCTAACACCAGCCTTGTTTACAGTGGTATGAACTTGGAGCCCCCCACCCTAACTTTGGCCCACAACCTAAAATGTATTTAAACTCAACATCTATTTTTAGTATGCTTAGTATTGTGCCTTACTGTATACGCTTAACTTAACATGCACCTGTGCCCAGACTATGTACACTAAATGATTTACATACAAGCACTCCATGACCTCTCTAGCTGCTTGTGATGTAAAGACTCTAAAGTCAAGTTTCAGTGGGTTTCTATCACCAGTTGTTTGCTTACATTTTAGGACTGGTAGGCTGGCAAAAATCTGCTCTCAATATGAACAGAAGATTAAATTTGAAAGTCTGTTGTGAAGTTTCAAGACAAATTTCTCCACAATGCCTATAACTGGAGAGGTGAAAGGGGCTTGTTTTACCGCGTGTTTAGAATATGTGAATGCTTTAGTGTTCACCAGAACACCCAAAGAAAATACATTCAGACATATGAAGAACATGCACATCTCAATGTAGTTAGACATTATAATTTTGGATTATTTCTTGTATGTTCTGTAGTCATTTGCATTTGATATACAAGTGCAGCAATATGTTTTCAACATAGTGGCAAATATTGGTCTACCGGGGACAATGGTAAACAAATGTTTGCAATGGATTGTAAACAGAAGTGAACTGAATAGAATTGGCATTAAACCTTTTGATTTCCCAGATCTGTTTTAAAAGTGTTTCATTTATATTTTGTTAATATATATCTTTTTTGTTTGCATTTACAGATCATCATGACAGATACCATTTTCGGTAATGGAACAGATCAATGGGTGTGCCCTAACGACAGGCAGCTAGCTCTTCGTGCCAAGTAAGTCTACAGAAAGTGTAAACTTTACCTCCTATGGTTGTCGCACACTAACTCTGTCAGTGTCCTTCCAGTATGTGACCTAAGTACAAGTTAAATTGGTGTGTGCTATATGTGTCACTTGCTCTAGGTTAGTGGTCTCTAACCTATGTATATGGCTATGTGAGCCACATTCAAGACCAGACTGGAGGTGAAATCAAAGCACTTTAGCTCATTTGTCATGTGAGCAGGCCTGACCATGCTCACATATAATAGGTAGTGGTGTGTGACTTCAAACTACAAAAGCTGCAGAATGCAGGTAAATTATCTTGAGTAGGTGGAACTGCATAACAGCTAAATGCAAATGTACAAATACACTAATAAAATAAATATACACTCATATTTACTGTTTGTTCCTTTTAAAATTAAATTACATGAAAGCTGCCTATATACAGTAAACTCAGTTATTCGGCACCCATGGGGATTGGTAGATGCTGGATAACTGTAGTTTTGTAGTTTCGGGTTGGTTGACAGTTACCATTAACTCTCAAGCATTAACATGCCCCATTCATCTCCTGGCTAGATTCTACTATTGGCTATTTCAAATTACCATAGCCAGTAGCAGGCTGGCTATTGCACATGCCCACTGCCCGTTGTTTACATTCACCTGCCAGCTGCAGAATCTAGCAGTGAGCTGCAGCAAGATGTAAACAGAGAATTTTTAATTAGCAACTAAATACATTTAATGTAGTAAATTGCCACAATCCAAAGCTGAAAGTGGAACTCACAGTGGGGGTGTTTTTTCTACAAGCTGATGGTATAAGTGACTGAGATAAAAAGATGATCTTACACGAGGGTAGAGCTTAGCATGGGAATGACGAGTTTGGTGATAGTCATTTGTGTTCAAGAGAAGACAGGGCAGTGGCAAAATTGAAGTCTCAGTTTCCTCCTTTTGCTTTACAGACACAGTGTAAGGAGGGTTATGGTGCACAGCACTGAGTGGCTTACAAGACTGTGCATTACTTAGCAGGTAAAACATACAGTGCATACTGTATGCGTTTCGGTTGATTGTTTTGCTGTTTGGCCAAGGATGCTCAATAGTTTTTCTGTTACGTAGTACAATGTTAAATGATTAATGCCTGGACATAATCCAGATATGTGAATAATTTTTTCTACTGCTGTTATATTTATTGAGAAATTATATGATACACCATGCTTCCTTTTTCAAGCATCTTTCACATTTTAAAGCGACACTAAGCTCAGGAGTTAAATCTTAAAAATGTCAGCTGAGTGATACACAAATAAGATACACTTTTGTTAATAGTTAGGGTACTTAAATGCATTTTCAAGATTTAACTCCTGAGTTTAGTGTCACTTTAAGGTTTCATGTTACATCTATGTTAAGAGCAGCAGATCTACATTCTGTTGTCTGCGGTGAGTTTTACTTTTATCCTTATTGTATTACTGATTTGTGCTGTTGCACAACAGGTTGCATTCAACATGAGAAGTCACATGATTCATTTTATGGCAAACATAGCTTAGACCCATGAGGGCACAAGCTCCAACCATAACTCCTATTTCCCTTTACCTACCAGTAATGTGCTGATATCATGCTCTGTACAGAATAGGGCAGGATTCCCCTTATCTTCTTATATCCTTCCAGTCCTTACAAGCCTATCAGAGTTTTACATAGAGTAGGACTCTTGCTCTCTGTGGGAAAGCAGTGATCTCTTTGCAGAGGTCCGACAAGCCTCCTGCTACCCAGAGCTAGTGCTCACCATTCAGTGGTCTGACTCAGTGGGGGGCATGTTAGACCTCTGCAATGAGACCACTGTTTCCACTCGGAGATCAGGAGTCCCACTCTGTGGCTGCTGAAAGGAAACAGGTTTTTCTACTCTGCTGAGGCTGTTTTAACAAGAAGAGGAACTGTAAGACATTGAGCACCTTTTTGTTTTGTCGCGCTTGGAATGTATTTTAGTGGATTTAAACTGAAGGTTTAATTGGGCTTTAAATTTTGCACAAGGGCTCTGTGGCTCCAGTAGTGCTTTTTATGAGCTGCTTTGGTTTTGTTAAGTCTTTTAAGTGATGAAGATTTAAAATATATTGTACATGCATGAGGACATGAGAGATTTCAGTTTAACTGTAAGACTGTTTATTCTATTCTGTAAAACATAAGTCAAAAGATCAAATCAAAAGAATTTTACCGGTTACAAAACTACATAATACGTTGTTACGTTGCAAAATGTTTTATTTACCAAGACATTGCTGAGGCCAACTATTTCTCTGTTTGTATAAGAATTCTCAGTAAGCTAGGTAAGCTTTGGTCATGTGTTAGGGCTTGTGTAGGTAAGCAAATCCAGCATGCTTTTAGTTGCATTGAACTTGCATTGTAGATTTAGTTGAGATGCTCTAAAATCCTTTGAAGGAATTTTTGACTTGCTGCTAGCTAGAGTTTTGTTCCTAGTGGCTTGTGTTAGGAAAAGCAGTGGCGGAACTACCAACGGTGTAGCCAGTGTGGCCGCATCGGTGCCTCAGCCTGGGGGGGCCCAGCACAGAACCTGTGCATAGATGGTGGGACTTGCCGGTCGCCGGATAGCACCGGATCGGTATCCAGCGGCTGGAGCGCCCCCAGTCTCTATGTCGGATCATCCGTTCATCCGACACTCCCGGCGCAGAGATGGGGGGCCTGCCGGTCGCCGGATACTACTCTCGACATCTGACACTCCAAAATGGGGGGGCCCGCCCCGCGATGCGCTGAAATGGGGGGGCGTCCGCCGGCCGGATAACGAGATAATATGGGGCCCGCCAGCTGCTGTAGGAGGGAGCCATGGAAATGGGGGGCCCACCCCGCGATGCGCTGAAATGTGGGGCCCGTCCGCCGGATAACCAGATAGTATGGGGCCCACCGGCTGCTGTGAGGAGGGAGCCGCGGAACAAGGAGGAACTGAAGACAGCCCTGCAGGCACATCATGGGGCAGCCATGGGGCCTTGGACGGCAGTGAGGACCCAGCAAACAGAACACACACAGGAAACAGCTGAAGACAGAAGATGTAAGGGTAAATAATTCATTAACATAATTATTATTTGTAGCCTAATGTTGTATAAAGTACTGTTGCAGCAATGCAGAATGGCACCCTGTATAGAGGACTACAAATCTCAGCAGTACTTTATACACAAATGATATTGTTATATAAAGTATTGCTGGGATGTGTAGTTCTCTATAGCCTGTGCCATTCTGCATTGCTGTAAATATTAGGGATGCACCGATATATCGGCCCGAAAATTTCACTTTTGGCTAAATGACGAAAGTGCCATTTTCTGCCGATACTGCAGCGCATCCCCGCTTTCTTTCCCCCCTGCTGGGCACTACTCTGTGTCCCAGCGGGGTGGAGAGAAAGTGTGACAGCCGGCCGAGCGCTGTGGGAGGAGAGCGCTGTGTTTGTGGGGTTTTTTTTGGGGGGGGGGGGCCCAAAAAAAATCTTGCACAAGGACCCTTTGTTCCTTGGGTCTGCCACTGAGGAGAAGATTAGCTCTAATGCAAACATGCTCATGTACACAGGCTTTTCTTTAGGTCTTCTTTTGTTCCCCAGCTTAGAAACGGGTGGCTTAAAAGAGAACTATGGGGTAAGTGTTTTCCCCCATAGTTCTCCTAAGGGTCACAGGAGGACATAAGCTAGCGTCCTCCCGTGACCCAAAGCTTAATATATCGTGAGCTACAGCTCGCCGTATACTGAGACCGCCGCCACCGGGACGGATTCCGACAATACTGTCGAGATCCACCCAGCTGCGTGAGTGACTGCTGGCTCTGCCTATCTAGAGGCAGAGCCAGCTGTACCCTCTCCCTTCCCCGTCTGTTCTTCAGTCAGCGCTGGAGGGTCAGAGGGGAGGAATCTGACAGTCACAGCTCTATGCAGGGAGATGATCGAGAAGTGAGCGAGCGACGGTATGTGTTCGCTCACTTCCCGATCTATTGATCCGACGTGTGACAGTTTAATTGGCAAGAAGCTTTTCATTAGTAAGAAGCTTTTTGGTTTCAATTTTTTCATATCTATTAATAATAAAACCCTGGAGCAAAAGTAGTACTGCACACCATTGCAGTCAGATTTAATCAAACACCACTACTTTTGCTCACGTTCTCTTTTTTTGCTCCACATCATATAAAACCTATTTGCCAATAGTTAGTGATATGCAGTATGGAATCTGTGGAATTGTATTTATTTTTTTAGTTCTTACCTTGCTTCATAATTTGGTTTGGGAAAAGGCCTCTTGTATGCCATATCAAATATTGAACTTTTGTAAATGCCTGCATAATACGATTTCAGGAACTCAAAGAATTTAAAATAGTGCAGTTTGCATAAACTTGAAGGACAAGTAGCTTGAGACAGATAGCAGGTGTTTACACTAGTTACTATTTTTATTTTTAAGTGTATTTATTTTTGGAAAGAGTAGGGAAGGGTTAAACCGCCTGCCATGTATTTTTTTGCAGTCTGCGTACCATTTGGGAGATTACCCTTCACTTCCTGTCACAGAGATGCAACAAGAAATTAGTGGAAAGCTCCCAAAATGCAGGGTGTTCCCCTCTTAAACAGTTGTCCCTAGAACAAGTGCCCCCATTTAAAAAGATTGCTCCTCACCTCCTGTTCTAAGGACAACTCTAAAATGTTTGATTTCCCCTAATTTTCTGTTCCAGTGACACCAGTACAAATAGATTGGTAAATTTCCTTATTGGGGGTTCAGACAGCAATAAAGATTTGACAGAAGGTTGGTCCTTTCCCATTACAAAAAAAAGGGTTTTCTCGAGAGATACATGTTCTGTTTCAAATGTCATACCTCCTTAGATCTCAGTCTGTCCGGACAGTATGGCCACCTGCTGACCACAGACAGCTTAACTCTTCAATAAGGCACAAAAGTTTAATCCAACATAGTTTTACTTCACACAGTGATGTAAAGAGGATGCTTTTCCAGACTTTTAAAGCATAAGAACACATTGGTGGGATTTATCAAAACTCAAGCAAACAAAAACTGGAGCAGCTGTGCATGGCAAACAATCAGCTTCTCTCTTCAGTTTGTTCAGGTAAGATTTAAAAATGAAAAAGAGAAGCGGATTGGTTGCCATGCATAGCTGCTCCAGATTTTGTCTGCTCCAGTTTTGACAAATTCCCCCCCATTTACTTCCTAAGCCGGTGTCTCAGATGAAACTGAAACTAAGGCAACATGAGAGAGCAGGTAGAGTCTAGCTTGGACTGTACTAACTACCACTAAACAGGAGTGGGAACAAGGAAACATAGCAAGGGAACAAACAAGCTGCTGTGGGAACACACTATCACTAGATGTCATCAATAATATAACACAATACATAACAAAAGCAGTAAACAAATGATAGGTGGAACACAGCAGTACACCTTAATGAATATATGACTACATTATTTTTTATTGTTTTTTTTTTTTTTTATATCTGCCTGAAGCACAGCCTTGTAGGGCAGACCAACACATTCAATTAACTGCTGCTATCACCAGCTGAAAATATTTACATTCCTTTGGCCCCCTAATGGGCCACTGTGAGCCGATTAGGGGGCCAGAAAGAAGCCCTGTGTAAGATTCAAGTTGCAACTTGAAGTTTACACAGGGCTAAAGACTCACCCCCTCGTGACACCAATCACCATCCACCAAAGCTGTCACACGAGAGCAAGGGGAGTGAGTCACTTTGCAGCTATGGGAGTGCAGCAGTTAGGACTTTTGCATTCTTGAAAGTGACATTTTTTTCATTGCGCTTCGGGGAAGCCTTTTTTTCAGTAATGGAGCCGCATTCATCAGTGCAGGAGAGGTAAATATTCAGTTTCTTGCTTGGTTGAGCCTTTTTATTAATGTGATTGGATGGCTTTAGATACTGTAATAATCTGCAACTTGTATACATTGTCATACAGTGATAATAAAGAAATAGTAAAAGCCTAAAGTCTTTTTCTTATTACATTTATTTAACTTACAGGTTACACACAGGTTGGTCAGTTCACACTTTCCGAACAGACAAGCAGAGAAAGAAACAGTGTTTGAACCCAAATGAAATGGAATCAATTCTAGACGTTATCAGAAGAGCTGAAAAAGTAGATACTCTGGAGCAGCAGAGAATTGGGTATGTCTGAGTTTAAGTATGATATTCCACTTTCCAAATATTCTTGTGGGTTGCATCATACACTGATGTCTTACATCTCTTAGAAATGGCAATAGTACGTTTGTTTCTTTGGTCCAGGTTCTGACTACAGGAATAACCTGCAGGGCTGTCCCTATTATGAGGCAGTCTCTGGCGGTTGCCTCAGATGGCATCTCATTGGGTCACATGCCATCCCCTTTCCGGTAAGAGAATCCTAGGTTGCTAAGAGCTCTTAGCAGCCTGTGATGCTTTAACCAATGTCCTGCCCATCTCACTGACATCACTGGTCACCAGGGGCTGAATTGGAAATTCTGTTTGGCTTCCCACCCAGCTCCTGATGACCAGTGATGTCAGTGAGATAAGCAGGATGCCGGACAGAGGTACCCTGCAACACCCCCTTCCTCTCTGACAACCCTCACCATCCTCCACCCCGGCCTAAGGTGGCGAAAATTGTATGTATGCCCCTGATAACATGGATTTCTTAGTCTCCCGCTAGAACTTTTGATGAACCTGCTTTGCAGAGAATACAGGAGAAAGATATTAATCCCAAATACTACAGCAGGTAGATTAATACTGCAGTGTGATGGGGCAAAAGTAAAATCTTACTACTGTAAGCATTCAGGTTGTGATTCAGCCCACCAGCAAATACTCATAAATGTTATGTAAAGGTCTTGTGTAATACAACACTATTTTGCTGTGAATACCACTTATTTTTTAAAACAGTAATTTGACATACTATATGATAAGTCCTATGTTTTAACACAAAAGCTTATAATACACAGACAGATTAAAATTAAAGAGTAATTTTGACCCCAAACTATTATTTCAAGCTCAACTCCCCACACTTCTTATTGGGAGATCTCTGCACACAGATTTCAATGTAACATTTTCAGTAAAATTGGAAAGTAGAAACCTTTTAGTTTATACCTTCTGCCTCGGTGACAACACTTCCCTCATTTCATTTCCTGCTGTCACAGGAACAGGAAGTGAGGGGAACCTTCTCAGTAGGCTCACAGACAGCAATCAAATCTTTACTCTTCCCAAATCTGTCCAAAACTGGAGTTAGGCTTTCAGTTGTAATAAAAATACCAAAAAGAAAAAAAGTGGATACAGGCATCAAAATAGAATTTTAAACTGTGCGTTTCAGTTATTTGCTTATTGTAGATTATTTGCGGTAAAATATGTTTCTAACATCTGCACCCTTTTAAATATTGTATCATGCACACAAACAGGGAACAGATTTGATCTCGTTTACTTTTGCATCACATTTTTAACCGTTCGCCTATATCTGTCAAATGCAAGTATACTATACTATATCTGTAAATCATTTTTTTTCTTTGTTTATGGGGGAATTGGATTATTTGGTTACTTGTGTGTTTTTTATTGGTTACAGTTATATAATGCCTCACCCAGTCTGGAAAAGAAGCCGAGTATTTCTTGATTTTTCTATGAGCAGTAATGTGTCTAATTGTGCCATCTCTTGGTCAATAAGTAAATTTCATGTAAAGATGTCTATGCTTAAAGCTCTATAGCATAGAAATGTTTCTCATATATATGGTTTTTAGCTATGCTTTTTTGTTGCCATCATGTCAATTACTTACTTAGACAAAATGTAAGCAAGTATTTAACATGTAATACCTAAGCTAATGTTGTAATTATGGCAGCTAAATATTATCAGACAATTATCTCTCTCTCGATATATATAATATCTTCTTTTTTTAAACTACTGCATGGATTATGAAAAAATACAGGAAAAATACAACTACACATGCTGGTAAATACAAAATATAGGGATTACAAAGTGGTTTTTAAAATTCAATAACTTTTTAAGATCTGTAAACAAAACGTTTAATAAGATAATATTATTTTCCAACATTAGCATCAATAAATTATTTGATGGTGTCAGGCACATTTGTTTTGTGCATATGACATTCTCCTGAATCCAGGTAGATTATTCTTTTTAGTAAACCATCCAAGCTCTCAGCAGTTATCAGTGTTACATGTAGGAAGATTGCAGTTATCAGTGTTACATGTATGGAAGATAGCAGTGTCCATAAAATGCATTATGATGATGAATGTATAACTTTTTCTTGCAGACGCCTAGTGGAGAGGTTAGAAAACATGCGAAAAAATGTGATGGGAAATGGGATGTCACAGTGTTTGCTTTGTGGGGAGCACCTTGGGTTATTAGGCACAACCTCTGTCTTTTGTCAAGACTGTAAGAAGGTAATATAACATATTTATAAAGACTTTCATTTAAGAAAAATATAAGATTTGTTACTTTAATGTCATGGCACATTTATTTTTATTTTTCAAAATCAGAATGATTAAAGAGGTAGAGGTTTAATTTGAGCGAGAAGCCAGCTTTAGAAATTGTTAGGAAATATAAACCCAGCCACTAAAATGTCATATAAGCTTTAAAAAGTTATAATTAATAACAGTTAAAAAAAATAACAGTAATTTTTTTAGTATTTTGATAATTTTTTAATGCTTCCACGAAGGTTCTTGTTCAGACACTTCGTGTTATAGGGTGACAATGCTTTAGTGCAATTGGTATAAGATCTATATCTCATAGGCCTACTGCTCACAGTTGGAGGGTTTCAGCAACAGGGGCAATGCTGTCATCCGGTAAACAGTGGGAGCTTTCTCATTTCCTTTTCTTAACAGGCACCTTCACCTCTATTTTATGAGACAACAAGCAGAATTCATTTATTCTTCAGAAACCATTTATATAGTACCAAGTGAAAGGTTGAGTATAAGCAGCAAACAGACTTCAGACTCTGGCCCAATTTACTAAAGTTAAGTGTAAAGTATAAATGAGGTCAGAATCTTAAATCACTGTATGTTCACCCTTTGTAATTGATTTGCACCCCAGGCTGATTCTAAACATCTCAACATTTATTTGACACTTGTCACAGCCCTCTAATATAGAGGAGAGCTGCACTCTGTGGGAATAAGGTTCTGACTTCTGAATTTAGAAACATTAGAAGGTAAGAGGAAACTGTAATATGCCCTTACATAGAAATAACATTTATTCTGTTTCCAATGCTGATATATGTAAAGACACTGGCGGAACTACCAGGGTCGCAGGGCCTGGTGTTCCGCCTGTTGGGGGGGGCCCAGCGAGGAAGAAGAGGGCCCCCAGAGATAGTGCCGGTCCGCCACCCGCAGCATGTACGGCGGCTGTGCTGCGGGGCTGGAGAGGAGTCACTTGTTTAGCTGAATGTGTTGCCGGCACCACCGGGCAGCACTCAAGACTACAAGTCCCAGCAATGCATTATATTTTTAAGTAGGGATGCAGTGCCAATTGTGGGCATTTTCACGAGTACTCATACTCTTGAAAATGCTCTGAAACTAAACGCAGATACCGGTGTTCTGTTGAGAACGCCGACGTAGTCGAATTTGCCGACCTCAGCATCTGCGCTTACGAACAGACCAGTATTAACGAGGAAACTGGGATTTATTTACATAGTATTTAGTTTAGATCGTTAATTGTGACCGTTAATAATATTCCATCCATCATTTACTGCCATCCATCATTTACTGTCATGGATGGCATATTATAAACAGTCACAATTAACCATTTACAAACTAATACTTTGTAAATAAATGCCGGTTTCCTTGTTAATCCCGTCTGTGCGCAAGCGCAGATACTGGGTCTAAAATTTTAAATAAGTGGCTGCCTGAGTCCTGCGCCTGCTGGGGACCTCGGCAGCCTTCCTGTTAACCTTGCGATGCCTAGTTACACCTCTGTGTAAAGACATACCTCCTTCTACCACCCGGTCTGTGATTACATTGACTGTGGAAGAATCCGCAGTCTGCTTCCTTCTTCACACAGAAGTTGAATACAATATAATTGTTAGACATGTGTGATTCGTTCCGAAGCGAAATTCAGATGCAGTTTCTGAAATACGGACATTCGGATGTATCCGCATTACAGATATAACGAATGCAAAAGAGTCCGAATTTCCGTTTCCGAAATTCGTTAGCGGTAGTTCATTCGCACGCTCGTTTTCATTTCTTATTCGTTTCGTTCGTTCGTTGCAGCAAAGTGACATTAGAGAAGGGGAAAAAAATAATTTTCCCCTCAATTGTCACTTAACTACAACGAACGAACGAAACGAATAAGAAACAAAAACGAAACAACCGTTCGAACTAACTACCGCTAACGAATTTCGTCCAAATTCCGAATCGGAATTGAGTTTCACACCAGAATCCCGAAACACGAAATAACACAAAATACGGATCAAAACGAAACTAAACTAAATTAATTTTTTGCCAGTGCACATGTCTAAAAATTGTATCTCAGATAAGAGCACTACAGAGGATGTTTTTCCAGGCTGCTGAAGACTTCATGAAGACAATGACTTTCTCGATCCTGTTTCTGCAGTGGTAAAGTAAAACTAACTATATGGCAGGGTTAGGCAAGACGTATCTAGCTAGGGACTGTACAAAATAGAGGCTAACAGGAGGCAAGAACAGAGGAACATACCAAAGTTCATAAAAACTCTGATGTAGTCTTCTGAAGAATTCTTTAGCAATGCAGACATGGTAGCTTAAACAGTCTTTGAAACATCAGGTCACTTCACCAAAGTTGTAAGGCTTACAAAGTCCTTTAGAGGTGAAAGTGAGACAGTCTCTCTGGTTGGTACCTCTTCACAAGTCCATCCGTAGGCTGCTGTACTTTCAGTTTTCTAAGAAATGGATATTGTAGCTTGATAACTAGGGTGGAAGACTCTGATACATTTCTTAGGTCATTTTACTACTAACAGGATTTGCAGCATTCTGACTGCATTGCATTGTCACTAGTGTCAGTTTGGATCTTGATGGACAAAGCTGTGAGTTGTAGATCAGGACTCTCTGTTGCAGGAATGTGGAATCAAAGACTTTGGAGCTCCTAACAGGATTCTCTAAATGAAAAGACATTACTGTTTTGCAGTTGTAGTTTTACCAATGACCAGCTGAGGTTGCAGCTGGTCCTCTGGGAGCAACTCTGTAGCATCTACTGAAGTAGATAGTGATTTAGAGTCACTAGTTACACAGTCCATGAATTGATGAACATTCGTATTGTTGTGCAGGATCTTGGTATTAATAGATTCCTTGTCACCTGTTAAAGGTTCAGTCCTGCTACTATCAGTAGTAGTTAAGAGATGTTGTCTTAGTGATACTGCTGTGGTGATTCTCTGATGTAGACCTGATTACTTATGAGAAGACCTGTTGTCAGAGTTAATAACCCTTTTGAGTCCCCATAGCATGTGCTTTGACAGGTGAAAGGGGTGTTTTGAATAGTCTTAACAAAAGGTTTAAAAGTGCGTAAACTGTTTGAACTGCTTGTTACTGGAGTGAGAAGAGCCAATAGAAGTCTGTGCTTTGGGCATAGACACCATCGTTCCAGCCAATTCATTTATTTTGTACACTCTTCAGATGTCTCTTCAGAGCACGATTTGGTCAACCAGTCAACCAACGAAATGTACATGATGTACCTCTTCTGGTTTAAGGATCTCCTCTCTAGCATTAGGTATTTGATTACACTCTGCGAGTGTAGAGAGATGATTTCCTTCAGTTTCCTTTATGTCTAAAATAATTCATTCTTTAGCGGGGCTAACATCACTAAAAGGTCACTTACATGAAGCATTTCATGCTTGGGGAGTGAACGGAAATGTCATCCAGATCATCCAACATCATTGATGTAACTTTTGGATTAATCAGGAGTTTCTTTCTTCATTGGGGACTGGATCAGGTCAGTGGAAACCTGATCCAGGCCCCCTGCGCAGAAGCAGATCACTTCTAATCAGCCAGCAGTGGATCACTATAGCAGTGATCTATTGCTGCAGAGCTGCAACAACTCTGCTCAATCCTCTTTACTCAGAGGAAATTAAGTGCTTTGATATCACTAGTGATTATCACTACACCTCAATGTAAACATAATCCGGAAGCATTCTGTTTAAATTCAATTCTATAGTGCTTTTCTAACAAGCAAGCTGTAGCTTTGTGTGGAAAGGTGGGGGTGGTGTTGTAATCCATCAGGCTTTTTTGCTGTTTGTATGTCCTCACCAGGGGAAGTCACTCTCTCTTTGTTCTTTGACCACTGGGGACTGATGTGAGGGAAAATCCCAAATTTCGATTTGTTACTAGAACAGGAAATCCTTTAGTGGAGTCATTTGTTCAGGTGTCTAAAGGAGCATCCCCTTCGCCCCTCTCATTTCCTGTTGTGTTTTTGGGTATCCCCCCCCAATAGGAACATGTTTAACCGTTTCCTATTCTATCCAGCATAGAAAAGGAACCCTTCATCTTTTTATATATACTTTTATCCTGCTAGTATGATTTTGTATTGTGGAAAGAAGTAGGAGCAACATGAGGAAACCGACACAAAAAGACAAAGAATGTACCACCTCAATCCAGCTTATTTTTAATATTTTTAATTAAATAGAGTACTATTGTTTCATTACCATAAAAACATCCAGCAGGCAGAAGAGAAAAGTGGAATCTGTAAAATGTCTCTGTATCTATTAATTAAAAAAAGCTGGCCAGTACATGAAAAGTAGCTGCAAGGAAAAACAGCCTTACAAAGCTACACAGGAAGCGAATATTTAAATTGGGCAAGACCTTTATAGTGCAACGTCTGTGCATCCTTCCAGTCTCCTTAAATCAAGACGTTTAGAAAATAACTAAATCTGTAGTATAAAAATAGATAAGCTAAAAGTGCACTGATCTGTTTCTTTCTCCCACAGAAAGTCTGCACTAAATGTGGAATTGAAACTGTTGGCAGCCTGAAGCGACCCACATGGCTTTGTAAAATCTGTAGTGAACAGAGAGAGGTAAATTGAGTGTTCTCCTTATGTTCTGTACACAGTTTGTTTAATCCTAGCACAGACAGAAAATGCTTTTCTTGTTGTAAATGTTTTTATTGAATTTTCAAAAGGTTAACATGCATAAATGTTGTTACAATTTCAATTTAAGAGCCTCCATGATGTATTGCTTTGAAGTCAGCCGTTGTGACGTAGTTGGTCCAGCAGGCCCACTTCTTTCGGAAGTTTTCTAGGGTGTCCTGTCTAGTGGCCAACAGCTCCTCCATTTCATACACATGTCCGACCTGTGTGAGCCATTCATTGATTGTGGGTGTGTGTTCCTGTCGCCAGTGGCGGGGGATGATCGTGCGTGCTGCATTGATGAGATGCTTGTGGATCGATTTGGATGCCTGTGTAGGGGTGTCAGGTGTCCAGTGTAGGAGAGCGACTGTCAGTGTAAAGGGCAGTTGGGCACTAGTAATCGTGTGGATCGCTTCATGGACCTGCTTCCAGAAAGGTTGTATACGGGGACAGGACCAGAAGATATGTGGGAGGGTACCTTCTTCCGTGTGACATCTCCAGCATGTTGGTGGTAGCTCTGGGTATATTCGGTGGAGAAGTTGCGGGGTTCTGTACCAGAAAGTGAGCAGTTTGAAATTAGTTTCTTGCATTCTGCTATTTATCGTGCATTTGTGTGCCGCCGTGCATATCTCAGCCCATGACTCGTCAATGTGATGTTGAGAGCCTGTTCCCATTTGGTGCGCGATTTGTTTGATTGGGAAACGGTACCATCCCTAAGCTGGCTATATATCCATGAGATTGGGTGTCTTGTTGGGCCATTTCCCGAGCAGGTCTTCTCGAATGGGGTTAGGGTTCTAGAATACGAATGGCGGCTTTCTTTGGACGTCAGAAAGTGCCGTATTTGAAAGTATACCCACCAAGGGAGTGAGCCGCGTTTCGTGAGGTCTGAGAGCTCGGTTCTGGAAAGGAATGTGTGGTATTTAAAGAAGTGGTGTGCTCTGATGGGAAGGTCTTGGGACCAGTGGGACGTAAAGTCTCTGGCGACACCTGGAGGAAAGTCCCTATTGTGTGTCAGAGGTTCCATGGGGCTGTGAAGTGAGGTAATAGTATTGAGGTGTCGAGTCGCAGAGAAGACGCCGAGCGTGGCTCCTATGAAAGGATGATCCTTCAATATGGGGGGCCAGAGTGCCTCTCTGAGCCATATCAGAGATGATAAAGGAATTTCAGCTATTGCCTCCTCCAAGGATACCCATAGCCTGGAGGTGGCGTGTATGTGCCAGTGCAGCACTCTGGTGAGGTAGGTCGCCTTGTAATAGGTATACATGTCGGGGATATCTAGGCCGCCATTAAATTTCTGGGTTTTAAGTAAAGACCAAGATAGGCGTGGACGTTTGTCGTTCCAGACAAAGGAAGAAAAAATTGAGTCTAAGTGTCGAAAGAAGGAGCGTGGTAATTTAATCGGTATGGTCTGAAAGCGGTATAACAGTTTGGGGAGTACGTTCATCTTCAGTAGGGCTGCGCGTCCAAACCATGAAATGGTGTGTTTTTGCCAGGTTTTAAGATCGTTATGGATGGAGTCTCGGAGGGTCGCGTAGTTCGTGTCATAGAGGAGGGATAAGTCCGAGGTCAGTTTGATGCCTAAGTACTGTAGGTGGGTAGGACGCCATGTAAATGGGAAGGACGATTGGAGGCGGAGTGTAGTAGTGTGGGGGTAGGTTGAGTGGCATGATCTCAGATATAGTAAAGTTAATTTTAAGATTGGACAGCGAGCTATATAAGTCGAATAAAGACATTAGGCTCGGCAGTGAGGATAGGGGTTGTGAGAGGAAGAAGAGTAAGTCATCTGCGTATGCCATCGTTTTGTGTTCTACCTCCCCTATCTTGATGCCGTGTATGGAATTATCTGCTTGAACTAATCTGATAAACGGTTCCAAGGTCAGTACGAAGAGCGTGGGGGAGAGCGGACAGCCCTGACGGGTTTCATTTGTGATCGGGAAGCTGTCCGATAGGCAGCCCATCGTCCTCACTCTGGCCTTTGGGCATGAGTATATAGCTCCTATCCAATGTAGCATACTCTCTGGCAATCCTATATGGCGGAGAACCTGAAACATGAAGTCCCAGGAAACCCTGTTGAACGCCTTCTCCGCATCCGTAGACAGCACCAGTGTCTCTAGTGTCTTCTGCTGTGTCCAATGGATGAGATTGAGGGCTCTCAAGGTGCTGTCTTTAGCTTCTCTGCCCGGTATGAACCCCACCTGGTTGGTGGATATCAGGTCAGGTAGGAGCAGGAGAAGGCGTTTCGACAGGGCCCTCGCGAAGATCTTCAAGTCTACGTTCAGTAGGGAGATGGGCCTGTAGCTGGTACAGAGTTGAGGGTCCTTGCCCTCTTTTGGGATTACGGTGATGTGTGCCTCTAGATGTTGGGGTGGGGGTTGTACGGTTGCGTTCAGGGAATTGTAAGCTTGGCGCAGGTGGGGCAGTAGGGTTTCCGAAAATGATTTGTAATATTGGGTGGTAAGACCATCCGGGCCTGGGCTCTTGCCTGGTTTGTACTGTTTGACGGAAGCCTGTATCTCTTCTAGTGTTAGGGGTCTGTCGAGGGCTTCGAGGAGCGAGGCGTCTATTTTTGGAATGTTTGCTTTCGTGAGGAAGGAGGTGATTCCGTCCAGGCGAGTTGTGTTTCCTGTCGGGGGAGGCTTGGGACCTATGTTATAGAGTGTGGTGTAGTATTCCTGGAAGCAGGAGGCTATGTCAGGTGGCGAGTGTCTTATATCGTTTGCGGTTTTCTTTATGCTATGAATTTGTGAGCTGGATTTTTGGGCCCGTACTGCTCTGGCCAGGAGTTTACCACATTTGTGTCCCCCCCCCGAGTAATAATGTCCCGTGCGGAGGGCGAAGTTTCTGCCGGTTTTAACTGAGAGGAGGTGGAGAAGCTCCTGTCTCGTCTCAGTCAGTGCCTGTAAGTCCCGTTGCGCTAGGGTTTTTTTGTGAGTTGTTTCTAGGAGGCGAATTTTAGAGGTGAGGGTTTGGATCTGTTTCAGCCTTTCCCTTTTGAGGGTGGCCGCTAATGAGATGAATCGCCCTCTGATGAAGCATTTGTGTGCCTCCCAGGTGATCATGGGAGAGGTTTCCCCGTTGGCATTAAGGGTGAAGTATTCAGTCAGTTCTGTAGATAGCGTGGCGACATGGGGAAGTTCCTTCAGTAAGGAGGGGTTCAGGCGCCATGTCGATTGTCTGGGGGTCGGTGAGACAATGTTGAGGGTAGCGGAGATCGGGGCGTGATCTGAGGAGACTATATTCCCTATCGTGGAGGCTTTAAGTCTGGGCAGGTCGGATTGTGACATGAAGATATAATCTATACGTGAGTATTTGGAGTGTATATGCGAATAGTAGGTGTAGTCTCTCTCGGTTGGGTGGAGTGTCCTCCCAGGTGTCACATAAGTGTAGTTTGGCAAGGTGGTTCTTCATAAATTTGAGTGTCCGGTATGGTAGGGATGAGTGTTTGTCTGAGGTATCAAGGAGTGGTTCCAGCGGGACGTTGAAGTCTCCCCCCACTACCAGAACACACTCCGCAAAGTCAGAGAGGCGGAAGAGAAACCTGCTCGGGAACGAGGCATGGCGCCTGTTGGGTGAGTACACCGACGCTATCGTGACAGGGGTCTGGCCTATCAGTCCTTTCAGGGCTAAATAGCGCCCTTCTGGATCTTTGAGTTCATCCTGGAGCATGAAAGGGACATGTTTGTGAATGACGATTGAAACGCCCCGTGATTTGTTGGAAGGTGACGAGGCGTGGAAAGTTGAATGGAAGTGATGGTCAGTAAGTCTAGGGGTCTTGTTATGTTTAAAGTGTGTTTCTTGGAGGAGGGCGATGGAGGCTGACTGTCTGGCAAGGTCACCTAGGATGGATGATCGTTTCATTGGAGCATTGAGACCCTTCACATTGAGAGAGACTACTTTGAGGTTGGCTAGGTCACCCATCTTCCGGTTCCGTGTAGGCCGGTCTGGGGGCGGGATGCCTGAGGAGGTATGGAGGGTGAAGGCAATGATCAATAGAAGGGGGGAGGAAGTGGGTAGCAAGAGGGTTGGTGGGGAAGGGGGGAGGAGGGAAGGAGTATAGGAAGTGGGAGTTAGTACCACTGGGGTCAAGCCCTGGACGTACCCCAGTCTAGTTGGCGATAGGGAGTGGGGCCGTTCAGACGAGTCACCAGTCAGGGGCCGAGATGGTAGGGCGTGTAGGGGACGGTCAAGCCTGTGGGTAGTCGAACAGGTCACAGGCCGTCTCACTTGGGGGGTATAAGGTTCAGTCGGGTAGAAGGTAACCAGGAAATGTCCTGTGTCAGGTCCCCACAGGGAGAAGCCCCGTGGCCCGAGCCCCGTCATTGAGAGGAGTCCCGATCTATTGTGCCATACCTCGGCACAAGGCAAGTAAAATAGTAAAGTATAGTAAGTAAAACGGCCTTGTAGACCCCATACCTGTATGGGTCTTCCACCTGGAGAGTCTGCGTCCATATCGGCACCCAGGGTCCTCTCCTCAAGGGAGGCAGTGATGGTCTCGTCAATACGCTCTACCCGATGAAGGGCGATAGTTCCCTTGAGGTACACCGTGTGATGTCTGAGGTGGGGGAGCACTGCAAGGCTTGCTGCGAGAGTCGATGAGTGGGTATCATGAGGCCGTGGTGTGCCAAGGACGCAGGGCTCCTGGTGGGGAACAGTGTATAACCAAAACACAATTGAAAAAAACACAACATAATATAACAAGACACCTTCTATGGTGCCTCTGCCGTCGGACCTCCCTCTGGGGAAGTCCCTTGTCCCCTGCAGCCAACAGGGTGGAACATAGGGGAACTCAGGGCTCCGGGAACAGGAAGCCCAAGGGCAGCCCATCGAAGGGGAGGGAGAGAGGTTCCCCAAGAGGGGCCAGCGGCTGGAGAGCAACCGTTATTGCCGTGTATGGGGTAAAGCATAGGTGGCTATGAGGTATACTCAGCTCATGATGACTAGGTCTGATG